GAGGGGCCGGCGTCGGGAGCTCGGACCTGACGCCCCCTCCAACCCCCAGACCCCGCTTCAGTCCGGCCAGCCCTTCAAGTTCTCCATCCTGGAGACCTGCGACCGCATTAAGGAGGAATTCCAGTTCCTCCAGGCTCAGTACCACAGGTGAGGGCCGGGGCGCCCTCCGGCGAGCTCACCTGCGCCCCGGGCGGGCCCTCGAGGGACGGGGGAGGGCGTCCAGGTGCCTGCGCAGGTGAGCGCATGACAGCCGAGCGAGGGCGGGAAGGGGTGCAGGAGGGCGGGAAGGCGGCGGGAAGGGGGCGAGCCAGCCCGTGACTTTGGAAACTGGGCCCCCCACGCGGGGCGGGGGCCGTGCCCTCTCTCCTACCCAGCCTCAAGCTGGAATGCGAGAAGTTGGCCAGTGAGAAGACGGAAATGCAGCGACACTATGTCATGGTGAGGGTATTACGGCAGGGTGGGCGAGTGGGGAGCAGGGCTTGGCTGTGAGCGAAGCCTGTTCCCCCCCACTCCCAGCCAGGCCGCTCCTGGTCAACCGGGCTGTCTGGGTTCCTAGGCTCTGGGGCACCCTCCCAGCTCCTGAGGAGGCCTCCCGGTGGGCTGGGGTGTCTGCAGAGGGGCCCTCCAGGCAGAGCCCCTATTTCATACTCTGGGACCCCAGGTGGCATGTGCTGTGGGTCCCTGGGCTGGGGGCTGTCCGCTGGCACCCCCCGACACCCCAACATTGCCTTGCAGTACTACGAGATGTCTTATGGTCTCAACATCGAGATGCACAAGCAGGTAACTGTGCCGGGCAAGGCTGGCCCAGGGGGGCCCTGGAGCCGGGAGGGACCCAGGAACAGGGGTCACACTCCGGGGGCTCTGCAGAGGTCCCAGGGGACAGGTGGCAGCCTCGGGTCGATAGTGACCCGCAGCAGCAGGTGGGCAGGCACCCTGGGGTGATTTCTGTCCCAGGATGGGCAGTCCCTTCCATCTCTGAGTGGAAGTTTGAGGTGGCCCTGAGATTTCCTGCAGCCTTGCAGGTTCTGAGACTGGGCCCGGTGGACCTGGTGGGAAGGTTCTGTAGGCGCTGGGTTTGGTCCCAGGGGTCAGACAGGCCCCATCGCGCCCAGACAGACTTCAAGACCTGGTCTGTCCTCACGGTTCTGAGACGGAGCCCGATGGAGCCCAGACCTATGGGCTTCTGAGATGCTTCCTAAGTTTCTGAATGTGAGCTCCGGGCTCAAGGACAGTCCTCCGGGTTTGGGGACAGTCCTCCGGGCTCTGGGACAGTCCTCCGGGCTCGGGGACAGACCTCCGTGCTCGGGGACAGACCTCCGGGCTCGGGGACAGACCCCTCCAACCCCCAGACCCCGCTTCAGTCCGGCCAGCCCTTCAAGTTCTCCATCCTGGAGACCTGCGACCGCATTAAGGAGGAATTCCAGTTCCTCCAGGCTCAGTACCACAGGTGAGGGCCGGGGCGCCCTCCGGCGAGCTCACCTGCGCCCCGGGCGGGCCCTCGAGGGACGGGGGAGGGCGTCCAGGTGCCTGCGCAGGTGAGCGCATGACAGCCGAGCGAGGGCGGGAAGGGGTGCAGGAGGGCGGGAAGGCGGCGGGAAGGGGGCGAGCCAGCCCGTGACTTTGGAAACTGGGCCCCCCACGCGGGGCGGGGGCCGTGCCCTCTCTCCTACCCAGCCTCAAGCTGGAATGCGAGAAGTTGGCCAGTGAGAAGACGGAAATGCAGCGACACTATGTCATGGTGAGGGTATTACGGCAGGGTGGGCGAGTGGGGAGCAGGGCTTGGCTGTGAGCGAAGCCTGTTCCCCCCCACTCCCAGCCAGGCCGCTCCTGGTCAACCGGGCTGTCTGGGTTCCTAGGCTCTGGGGCACCCTCCCAGCTCCTGAGGAGGCCTCCCGGTGGGCTGGGGTGTCTGCAGAGGGGCCCTCCAGGCAGAGCCCCTATTTCATACTCTGGGACCCCAGGTGGCATGTGCTGTGGGTCCCTGGGCTGGGGGCTGTCCGCTGGCACCCCCCGACACCCCAACATTGCCTTGCAGTACTACGAGATGTCTTATGGTCTCAACATCGAGATGCACAAGCAGGTAACTGTGCCGGGCAAGGCTGGCCCAGGGGGGCCCTGGAGCCGGGAGGGACCCAGGAACAGGGGTCACACTCCGGGGGCTCTGCAGAGGTCCCAGGGGACAGGTGGCAGCCTCGGGTCGATAGTGACCCGCAGCAGCAGGTGGGCAGGCACCCTGGGGTGATTTCTGTCCCAGGATGGGCAGTCCCTTCCATCTCTGAGTGGAAGTTTGAGGTGGCCCTGAGATTTCCTGCAGCCTTGCAGGTTCTGAGACTGGGCCCGGTGGACCTGGTGGGAAGGTTCTGTAGGCGCTGGGTTTGGTCCCAGGGGTCAGACAGGCCCCATCGCGCCCAGACAGACTTCAAGACCTGGTCTGTCCTCACGGTTCTGAGACGGAGCCCGATGGAGCCCAGACCTATGGGCTTCTGAGATGCTTCCTAAGTTTCTGAATGTGAGCTCCGGGCTCAAGGACAGTCCTCCGGGTTTGGGGACAGTCCTCCGGGCTCTGGGACAGTCCTCCGGGCTCGGGGACAGACCTCCGTGCTCGGGGACAGACCTCCGGGCTCGGGGACAGACCTCCGTGCTCGGGGACAGACCTCCGGGCTCAGGGACAGACCTCCGGGATCAGGGACAGACCTCTGGGCCCTGGGACAGATCTCTGGGCCCTGGGACAGACCTCCGGGCTCAGGGACAGTCCTTTGGGTCCTGGGACAGATCTCTGGGTCCTGGGACAGACCTCCTGGATCGGGGACAGACCTCAAGGTCCTGGGACAGACCTCCGGACCCTGGGACAGACCTCCGGGCTCGCCACAGACCTGCAGGCTCTTGACAGCTCCTGTGAGCTGAGCCGGGTCACAGGGTCCTAAGCCTGTCACCCAGTTTCTGAAAGTGACCTTGAGTGTCTGAGATAGACATGGGGTTCTGGAATTGACTCCAGAAGTCTGAGATTAACACTGAGAGGGACCCCAGGATTCTGGTGCTGCTGGACTCGCCCATCTGTCCGTCAGAAGGAGCTGTAGCCGAGCGGAGCGGGGGCTTGGTGGGCTGGAGTGTGGGTGCCCGGGCGTCTCGCACGCTGTCCCACGTGCTCCCGGGATGTGCTGCCTCCAGTGGGTAGGAGGCTGCTTGTCTGCTTAGAGCTTGGCTCGGCCCCAGGCGTGCCGTGGGCCCGTAGCGGCGTGGGAGCCTGGTTCATGGTGGGGACGCACACGGCTCATCTGGACCCAGGTAGCGGCAGAGCCGTGGCCGTCGCGCAGGCGAAGCCTCGGTTATCGCGCATGCGCAGCTTCTTGCCCGCAGGGCTTCTTCCTGGCCCAGAGGAGTCCCTGAGGTCCCCAGCTGTAGATCACCCCCAAAGGGCAGGCCCGACCCGGAGAGGGTCTGAGCTGGGAGAGGTGGCGCCCAGACAGGCGGAGACCTGCGGATCGGGGTGGAGGCTCACCCCGCCGGTTTAGAACGGCCTGAGCCTCTGGGTGGTGGGTCTGAGCCCTGTCCGTGCAGCTGCTTGCTGCGTGGGCGGTGGGGCTGGGACGAAGGCCCTTAGCCGGGTCTCCTGGCTGCAGTCCACCCTGGGCCTCCGCCGGGCCCGCCGCTGCACCAGCGGGGACAAGTCCTCGCCCTCAGCCTTGCAGAGGGGTTGCTGCGGGGCCAGGGCCGGATGGCGGCTCTCCACCCCCTCCACGCCTGTGTCTTCCTGCCAGGCCGAGATCGTGAAGCGCCTCAGCGGCATCTGTGCCCAGATCATACCCTTCCTGACCCAGGAGGTGAGCAGTGCGGCGGCGGGGACGCAGGCCTCCTCTGCTGGGGCTGGAGGTGTTGGAGGGGGAGGCAGGGCGTTGCCCCCTTCAGGGGGAGCAGGCGCAGAGCGGAGCCACCCAAACCCTGCAGCTGCGTGGCCTTAGGCAGGTGGGCCCCTCCCTGCCGCCAGGAGGTTGCCCAGTGCACAGTGTCCCGGCCACCCAGTGGTCAGCCCTTCCTGTCCCCATGACATGTCCCACTCACGGGACGCGCCCAGAGCCACCAGGGTCACAGAGACAGCAGGACAGGTCTGGGCTGGGGGCTAGGGAGGGACGTGCCATGGGGACAGAGCTCCAGTTGCGGCTCCAGCTTCGGGAGGAGGAGGTCCTGTGCCGGACGGTGGGCACGCACACGGCTGCTCAGTGGTGCACCCACTGCACCGGGAAACGGTGGCTTTAGGGCATCGGAAATGACCTATGCAAAACCGCGCCATGACTTCCCCAACGACCTGATATATTATGAATTTTTACCACCACCGTTGTAAAAAGATAGGCCTAGGACAGCTATACTTGAAGAGCACTTTTTTGCAATGTTGGGGCTAGCAGGTGGAGTGGTGATTAGGGCGCTGGACTCCCACATGGTCAGCCACGGTTCAAGTCCTGGACCCAGGGTCTTGCTTCCTCAGTTTTCTGTGCTCTCTCGTACCAAAATTAAATCATAATAAATAAAATTTATTATTTTACACAACAGTCGTTTATGCCAACAGTTGGCGTAATGGCTATGTTGCTGGACTCCCACATAGTCGACCATGGTTCGAGTCCTGGACCCAGTGGCTTAAACTCATGCTGGGCATGTGTGCATGCATGTGCGTGTGCGTGCGTGCCCACGATCCCGAGAGGAGAATGGAGGAGAAAGGATTGCGGCGTGGCCACCCCTTCGGGGGGCGGTGATTTCTGGCTGTCTGTCTCTCTCTTTCTGGCGAGTACACGGGCACTGTAGCAAAAACCTCTTTAAAAAATTAGCACTTTATTGGAATGTAAAAAAACAGTTAGAGGCTAGCAGATGGTATAGTCATTAAGGTGTTGGACTCCCACATGGTCAACTGTGGTTTGAATCCCAGACCCGTCAGCTTGAAACTCATGCTGGGCACACGTGTGTGTGCTCAAAATCCCGAGCGGAAAACGGAAGAGAGGGGATTGCGGCATGGCCATACCCCCGGGGGTGACCTCATTTTCCATCTCTGTTTCTCTAGCGAGTGTACACGCCCTATAGCAAAACTCTCTGGGGAAAAAAAAGTGGGTAAAAGGTGTTTTGGAAGGAGTGAATGAAGGCAGCAGCAGCACCTTCCCTCCTGTCCAGGAATCAGCAAAATGTAGCCCACTGGCAAGCCCGGCCCGCTGCGGCTTTTGTAAATAAAGTTTTATTGGCACGCGGCCCCACGCACGTGCTCCATCTGCAGTGGCTAGCCTCGGCCCTGGCAGGGTTGAGTGGAGGCAGCAAAGGCACAATTTCTTTTATTATTTTTAATTGTGAACCTACCAGGGTGAGACAGAAAGGGAGAGGGAGGAAGCGCCCCGAGTGGGGCGTGGTCACCATCATCCCATCTCCTCCATTCCTCCACCCTGTCAGGATTTGGGGCACACACGCACATGTGCCTGGCATGTTTTTCAAGCTGGTGGGGCCAGGATTTGAACCCTATTCTGGGCCTGTGAGTTATAGCTACCTTAACCACTAGGTCATGAGACCGGTCCTGTTGTTAAATTCATGCTACAGAGTGCATGTGCGTGGGTGGGGGAGAGGAAGAAGACACCCCAGCCGCCACAGCCCCCTTCCCGGCCCCTTCCCGGCCCGCCAACTCGGCAGGGTCTAGCACGTGCGCACATGCACTTGGCATGTTTCTCAGCCGACCTGGGGATTCGAACCCACCCTCGCCCATGCGGCTTCCAGCTCTCATTTCAGTTTGCTGCTGATGGGGCCAGGCTGGGCCTTACAGGAAAAGACAGGCACCCCCAGTGAGCATCTTAGCAGCGGCTAGCCCGGGGCAGGCCGGAGAGCAAGCAGCCTGTGTCCCCGCGGGCAGGCCACAGCCGGTAGCCGCCAGCCGCCGTTCCCAGGGCTGTTACCGCGGCTGCTAATTTGTATTTAAATACTATTCCGAGCTGGCCTCACCGCCTAGGTTACGGGAGCCAGAGCATACGTGTGACCACAGTCCTGCTCTTCATTCTCTTTTCTTTTTTTTGGAGAGGTTTTTGCTATAGGGCGCGTGCGCTCACCAGACAGAGACAGAGACAGAGAGACAGAAAGTGAGAAATCACCCCCCAGGGGGGATGGTCACGCCGCAATCCCTTCTCCTCCATTCTCCTCTCGGGATCTTGGGCATGCACGCACACGCGCCCGGCGTGAGTTTAAGCCACCAGGTCCCGGACATAAATTGCGGTTGACTACATGGGAGTCCAGTGACGTAACCAGTACACCAACTGCTGGTCTCCCGACCCCGGTTCGAATCCCAGCCCAGTGGCTTTAAAAACACTTAGGTGTGCACACCCCACATCCCAGCAGGAAGGAGAGGTGGGGAGCAGGGTCGCAGCAGGACCGCGTCCCGTGGGAGACACTTCTTCCCTCGCCCTCTGTCTCTGACGGGCGTGTGGGCCCTGGCAGTTCAAAAAACTGGCATTTATTTATTTATTTAAATTACTTATTTTTTTTTAGAGAGATTTTTGCTATAGGGCACATGCACTCACCAGAGAGACAGAAAGCAAGAAGTCACCCCCAGGGGGATGGCCACATCGCAATCCCTTCTCCTCCATTCTCCTCTCAGGATCTTGGGCACGCACACATGCTTGGTGTGAGGTTTTTTTTTTTAATTAATTAATTAATTCATTCTTTTTAATTTGACTAGAGAGGAACAGGGTGAGAGAGAGCAAGAAAGACAGAAAGTGAGAAAGCAAGCTACCAGGTCCAGGATTCGAACCGTGGTCAGTCATGTGGGAGTCCAGTACTCTTAACCACCACATCACCTGCCAGCCGCACTCCGTGTGTTTCAAGCCACCGGGTCTAGGACTTGAACCGTAGTCAACTATGTGGGAGTTCAGCGACATAACCCTTAAGCCATCTGCTGGTCCAAAAACTGACATTAATTTAAACTTGATACGCCAAGCCCCATTCCCGGGCCACTGTGAGGGTGCGAGCAGGCAGCCAGGGCTCCCCGTGGGCCAGCACAGACGGCGGGTTCTCCCAGCTGGAGGCCCACAGCCCTGATGGCCCCAGCCTGGTGCCGATCAGGCGGAGAGCGTTAGGTTGTGTGAACGAAGCCGGGCGGGAAGGAGCCAGAGTCCCCAGCCGGGTCTCGGGAACCACGGGGACGTGGGAGGAGGCCCTTGGGTGGGGCTCCGAGGGCCTTCCAGAGGGGCAGTTTCTGACACCCGGCCAGGAGGGGTACCTGGGTACTGGGTACCGCGGTGGCTCTGGACTGGCAGTTCTGCCCAGGGGACATGTGTGATGGGGGCAGGGACGCTGCTCAGCCCCTGCAGCGCCCAGGACAGAGACTGACCCACCCGGTGCCCACAGTGCCGGGAGGGGAGAGACAGAGACGGCAGGCGGGGCCAGGCAGCCGCACCTGGAGGTCTGCCCGCCGGGACCACAGGGGAGCCCAGGTTGGAGCCCAGGCTGACCTAGGCCGGTCCAGGGGCGCCTGTGGTCCCAGTGACTTGGGGAGGCCAAGGCAGGAGGGTCCTGAGCAGGAGACCAGCCTGGGCTGTACCGCCTGACGGCCCAGAGCCAGGCCTGAGGGCACGGCCTGCTGTCCGCGCTGGGAGGCGGAGCCGGTGGGCCGAGGTGCCCTGAGACCCCGTCTTCAAGACAAAGACCAGACCGTGGGCCAGCTGGTGGCCTGGAGCTTAACAAGGCCGGGTCCCACATGGCCAACCGGGCAGTTTTCTCGTTTTCTTAAAAATTATTTTATTTAACTTTATTTATTTATTTATTTTAAGAGAGGGCCAGAGAGAGAGAGAAAGTAAAAGTGAGAAAGCAAGCCGCCAGGTCTGGGACTCGAACCGCGGTCAATCATGTGGGAGTCCAGGGCCCTTAACCACCACGCCATCTGTGAGTCAGGTCCAGCGGCTTAAAAACACTCGGTGCGCGTGCGCGCGCCCAGAACCCCGGGAGGAGAATGGAGAGGGTCGCGGCGGCCCTCCCTGGGGGTGACTTTGCCGTGAGCGCGCACTTGAGCGGGATGGAAAGCGGGGCGGGAGTGCCGAGCCGGGTGGGCTGCGGGGCAGAGGGGCTCAGCGTGTCCCCCGTACCCAGCACCAGCAGCAGGTGCTGCAGGCCGTGGAGCGCGCCAAGCAGGTGACTGTGGGGGAGCTGAACAGCCTCATCGGGGTGAGTCCTCGCCCCGCTCTGCCTTGGGGAGACGCCCAGCCCCGGGTCGGGATGGAAAGCGGGGCGGGAGTGCCGAGCCGGGTGGGCTGCGGGGCAGAGGGGCTCAGCGTGTCCCCCGTACCCAGCACCAGCAGCAGGTGCTGCAGGCCGTGGAGCGCGCCAAGCAGGTGACTGTGGGGGAGCTGAACAGCCTCATCGGGGTGAGTCCTCGCCCCGCTCTGCCTTGGGGAGACGCCCAGCCCCGGGTCAAGAGCTGGGGTGGCGGGTGGGCAGCGGAGGTGCCATAGGCCCCAGCCCTGCCCATGTACCCCGGCCCGCCCACCCACGCGGGGCACTGCAGGCCCCTCCCCTGCTCACGCCCCGCCCCGTGCAGGCCCCGCCCACGTGCCCTGTCCGCCCCCCATGAGCATCGCAGGCCCCGCCCCTGCCCACCGCCCCTGTCCTCCAGCAGCAGCAGCTCCAGCCGCTGTCCCACCACCCCCCCCCTGTGCCCCTCACCCCGCGCCCTGCGGGGCTGGTGGGCGGCAGTGCCACGGGGCTGCTGGCTCTGTCCGGAGCGCTGGCTGCACAGGCCCAGCTGGCGGCGGCCAAGGAGGACCGCGCAGGCGTGGAGGCCGAGGGGTCCAGAGGTGAGCGGGCGGAGCAGGGCAGCGGCGGGGGGGGCCGGCCTGTGCTCCATCCCCGGCTTTTTTTTGCTCCATCCCAGCTTGCGAGCGTGGGTGGGGACGCAGCGGGCGACGGGGGCGCCCTCAGCTGGCTGGGTGGGCAAGTCGCTCCCCATCCCTGGGCATCTGCGTGGACAGGGCGGAGAAGGGACATCCCCGTCCCCTGCTCGCGGGCAGGAGGGAAGGCTAAGGGCCGGGCCAAGCTTTGTAAGCTGGAGGGCGGGCCTCTGGCGCCAGGGCACGGAGACCCTCATTCTCCCTCCTCTCTTCTTATCACACCCCACCTGGCAGCGGACAGAGCCCCGAGCAGGGTAAGTGGGGGCACCCAGGGAGGCTTGCATTCCTGGGGGCTGAGGTTGGCTATTCGACATGATGGGACCCAATCCTGACTGTCACACTGTCACCTGGAGGCTGGTTTTTTTTTTAATTATTTACTTAATCCCCTTAATTATTTAATCTGATCAGACAGAGGGAGAAGGTAAGAAAGTAAGCCCGGGTCCGGGGCTCGAACCACAGTCGGCCATCCGGGAGTTCAGCGCCTCAACCACCATGCCACCTCTGGTCCTCGGAGCCTGGTTTTTAGAAAGGAGCCTGTTTTATTTATTTATTTATGAGAGGTTTTTGCTATAGGGTGCGTGCACTCTCCAGAAAGAGAGAGAGACAGAAAGCGAGAAATCACCCCCCAGGAGGATGGCCACGCCACAGTCCCTTCTCCTCCATTCTCCTCTCGGGGTCTTGGGCACGCACGCACATGCACCCAGTGTGAGTTTAAGCCACCAGGTCCAGGACTTGAACCGTGGTCGACTACATGGAATTTCAGCGACATAGCCATTATGCCATCTGCTGGTCCCAGAGCTTGGTTTTTAGAAATTGTCTCAGAGCACATGTACCTGCCAGAGAGACAGGAAGGGAGGGAGAAGGCCCCGGCGGGGCGGCTGCGCCCGGCCCTGCCTCTCCGCCCGTCGGAATCGGGGGCACACACCCCAGAGTGCTTTTCTTTTTTAAAATAATTATTTAAGTTTTTTTAAGTATTATTTTAAAATTTGCTATAGGGCACGTACACTGACCAGAGACAGAGAGAAAGTGAGAAAGCAAGCCCAGGCCTGGGACTTGAACCGTGGTCGACTCTGTGGGGGTCCAGCACCTGGCCCCAGCCCAGCATGTTTTTCAAGGGCGGGGACTCACACTGCGGGAGCAGCGCTGTCTGCCCCTCCAGGTCTGGGCCTGTGACACGCCGGCTGTCCCTGGTCCCGCGGTCCCGTCTGTGAGGGCGCCGCCCCTCGCCCCCGTGACTGAACGTGAGGCCCAGAGCCACGCCTGCAGCCTGCCCCGCAGCCCATCCCCACGTGGGCAGCTCGCGTTGCAGACAGCACCTGGGCCCTCAGCCTTGTCTGGACCAGGACACGAACCCCGTCCCTTCTCTGCAGAGCGTGTCCCCCTCGCCCCCCGAGAGTCTGGTCGGAGAGGAACGGCCGAGCGCCCTGGGTGGCAGTGGGAAGCAGAGAGAGGACAAAGATCTGGCAGGGCCTTATGTGAGTAGGGGTGGGCGGCAGGGTGGGGTGAGAAGGGGGTGGTCTGGGCCCTTTGGAGCCTTCCGGAGCCATGACCCTCACTCCGGAGCCTTCCATAGCTCCCCACTGCTCCCAGAGCACCGACCCACCAGAAGAGCCCACGGCTGTCGGCTGTAGGGCTTAACCCTGGTTTTCTAAGTCGGTGGCCGCGGGCCTGGCCGCCTTCTCTGACCCTGGAGCTTTTACTTTGGCTAACAAAGCCCCCGCTCCACCCCCGCCTCTCAGAAACCAGTTTCTCCATCAGGACCCAAACGCTGCCTCCTGCAGGAAGCCTTCCCTGACTCCTTCCGCATCACAAGACTCATACACGCCTGTAGTTTCGAGCCAGCACTCCAGGGGCCGGCGAGCCTGGGACGGGGGGCCCTCCGGGGCTGCTTATTGGTCCACCTCTCACTATTTCTCAGAAGCTGACGTCTTTCTTGTTACACAGTGGCTCGTTTTATAAACGTCAGCCACCAACCTTCCCGGAAGGAGAGGGCCTGGGGTGGGAGTGGGTGGAAGAGACCCCTGTGCCGGGAGGCTCGGGGGCGGGACCAGCCTTGCTTTCTGGCCGTCTCGGCAGCTCGGTACAGGATGGCGGAGGGGGTGGAGCTTGGTCTTTCTCCCAGGGCCCTGAGGAGCCATGGCAGGGTAGGGCTTGGGGGAGTCTGGGGCCAGCTTGGAGGGCCCTGGAGGGACAAGGCTGGAGGTCAGGAGCCCAGGCCGGAGCCGCGCCAGGGCCCTGGGAGGCAGCGGGGGTGACAGGCCCGTGCCGGAGAGCGAGGGGGGAGGAAGGCGACTCCTGGGGTGAACTGAGGCCGGATCCTGGCCGGGGCCCTCCCTGGAGCCCCTCCCAGCGGGCGGGGCGGGGGGGGGACCCCC